AAATTGGAATCATGAAATTGATGTTGAACAACCCATTCCTCCTTCTCCACCACAATTACCAGAAATTTCTAAAGAAGAAGATTCAACAATTATTCAACCTCCTGCACCTATCCTAACTCCACCAGAATCACCAGAATATAACCTTGATCTTGAAAATGATAAACATGTAGAAGAGGAAGAACAAAAAGTAATTAATAATATTGAACAATATAATGATAATGAGAAACCTACAATGTCGGATGACGAAGAAGAAAATCACGATAGTAATGTTTTAATTGAAAACACAACTACTAATGACGATGAAATTGCCACAACAAAAGAATTGTTCGAAGAGATTAAAGAATTAGAAGAAAAAGATACTAAAGAAAATGTGAATGACGATAATAATATTGAACAATATAATGATCATGAGAAATCTACGATGTCGGATGGCGAAAAAGAAAATCATGATAGTAATGTTGTAATTGAAAACACAAATACTAAAATTGACGATGAAATTACCACAACAAAAGAATTGGTCGAAGAGATCAATAAAGCAAACGAAGATATTAAAGAATTAGAAGAAAAAGATACCAAAGAAAATGTGAATGACGATAATAAAATCGAAATTACATCTTTTTCCTCAGTTGATAATGATTTGGTGCATGATAATGATTTTGAAACATTAAAATTTTCTGTGTCAGGTAATTTATTTATTTAATTTTATAAATAATTAGTCAAAGAATTATTTAAAAAGAAATGCCTGACTATTGTTATTGTTATTATTATTATTATTATCATTATTATTATACGATGAAATTTATTAATGAATTTTGCCATTTTTATCATCATCAATAGAATCAACATTCGAGTCATCAGAGTCAACAATCGAATCTTCATCTTTATCTTCATCTTCATCTTCATCTTCTGTCACCACCACTACTACCGCTACTTTATCATCAATATCATCAATAACGCAAAAAGAATCATCAATAATAACAACCAATACACATGTTTGTAAATGTGGTGATTCCTGTGATTGTACTGATTGTAAATGTGGCAGTGGTGAGAATGAAGATGAACATCGTCATGAGGAGAAGTATCACAGTGAAATTATTAATGATAATGTTAATGTTAATTGTAATGTTAATGATAGTAATGAGAAGGTGCATGATAAAACTATTTCATTATCAACTGAAGCGCATGTTTGTAAATGCGGCGAATCTTGTAGTTGTGTTGATTGTAAATGCGGCAATGACGAGAATGATAATGATAATGATAATGATAATGATAATGATAATGATAATGAGAATGAGAATGATAATGAGAATGATGATAAGATACATAATGAAATTGTTTCAATATCAACAGAAGCAAATGATGTGAATGAGAATGAGAATGAGAAGGTGCATGATAAAACTATTTCATTATCAACTGAAGCGCATGTTTGTAAATGCGGAGAATCTTGTAGCTGTGCTGATTGTAAATGCGGCAGTGACGAGAATGAAGACGAACATCATAATGAGGAGGAGTACAGTAAAATTATTGAATCATCATCAACAACAATTGATCATGATCATGATATTATTAAAAATGTCGTTTTTGAAACTACAAAATCAACTACAACAGCAATTGATAAAGATCATTTATTATTTTCTGGTGAAATTATTAATGATTTTGATTCTGGTGAAATCAAAAACAATGAAGAATTTTCAAATATGGAACTTGATGATGAAGAAGAAAAACTTGAAGCCACCGAGACAATTGTTGATACTATAACTACAACATCTGACGACATAAAAGAATCTTCTCTATCTTCTCCTATTATTGATGATAAAGATTTTGATAATTCGAACACAAATATGTGGTCAGAAGAAATTACAAGTGAACAAGATCCAATTGTGGATAGAAACAAGTGGCCAGAAGTTTTAAATGATCAAGATTTAACTTTATATACTTGGGAATCCAAAGAAAATGTATCGAAATTTAATTCTAACAATAATCAATCATCCGATGATTCAAATTGGATAATCGATAATGGTACCAATGATGTCTTAGGTTTAAGTTTTGCTACAGAAACAATGACTACAACCACCACTACCACTACCACAATAGTAGAAAATGTTGAAGGGGATGATGATGTTGCTCCAACAGTTACAATAACAACAACGGCCACCTCCGATGCTGAATTTGTAGCAGAAGAAAAAGAGAGAGGCAAGGATGATGATGAAACTATTGTCGTTGAAAGTGTTTTAAATTAATAAATAGTCTTAATAATTAATTACATTTGTAAGAAAATCAATTTAATTTTTTTGACATTCGAATAACATTAGCAGTTGAAATAGGAACTATATTAATCTATTAGATTCTATTGTGAAGAGAATACAATAATTGGTTCATTAAGATTAGATATTGTGAAATAATAAACCATTAGCATTTGAGAAACAGTATCGACAAAACACGGGATTTTCCCTGGTGCTAGTCACATGATAATGAGAACGAACAAACTATTACTATTATTTGTTTTATATTTGAGATTTAGAATACGACCTAGAAGGAGACTTGGAACGGACATAGAAAAATATCCTTTAATTGGTGATAAGAAATCTTATGTTCTTCATATAGTTTATTCTTCATTAGTCCTGAAAGTTCATTTTTTACCATGCACTCATCATGTATAATTTCGATTTTTCCTCCCGGAATAACATCATTGTGCCATCTAATTTCCGTATTTAAAAGCATCGGGTAAGTTGCCTCTCCCCTTTTACCTGCCCATTCAAAGTCTATATATTTCACCTGGTTATTGTTTCCTATTATAATATTAGGACCTCTTAGGTCTCCATGTACAAAACCATTACTATGTAACAGCTTGGCGGAATCAAAAAGTACCTTTTCAGTATTAGTATTAGTATGTTGCAATTCCGTACCTATTCCGTACCTTATACGCGGAATCAAAAACGTATATACCAGCCACCCGTGATGTCACACAATCAATATAGCGACTGTAATAACTGTGTAACATTTCGATTTTTAGTATTAAAAATTCAACATAAAAAATTTCCTTCACAAGTGTAACTACTGTTTCTTTTTTAGTAAGGGTCACGATCTTTTGCGCAGACATTATTATTATTTATTTCCCTGCAAAATTTGAACCATTGCTTTATAAGAGAATGGAAAAGGATGGTCGTTTGAAAATTTCTTCTGCTTCGGGTTTTAATGATTGACAATATTACATACAAATAATGCTGTTGGTTTAAGAATTAAAGCAGCGAAATTATTCTTATGGCGGGATTCTTTATTCATAATAA